ACTAATTAAATGTGATGATAAGCTCAGTGGAACTATTTTTTGATGATGAAAATTATGTTCAAGGTGTGTGATTTATTAGAAGGCATTTAAGAGATAAATCTATTAGAACTACCATCAGTTCTGTAAGTAGATGCTGACGTTTAGAGAAATGTTCAATCAACTGCTCATATTAGCTTGAAGGCGTATTTTCGACTACCACAAGATGCCGTTGTGTACATAGATGAAGCCTTAAACCCTGATTTCCGAAAAGCCTGGCGGTCAACAGCAATTCCTCCTCTCTTAAAAATGTGTGCAGCTCTGATGTTTTTTGATAGCAATGACTTCAGCCTTGGCATGGCTCAACTGACAATGTCGGTGGTTTTCGCCGAAGTTATCCGGCTAATAGAGGAAAAACTGTGTAAAATTTTGATTGTATCCAAATTAACGGAGGAGTAAAAAGGGAAGAATAACATTTTTTTATTCGAAAACTAAGTTCCAGGGTGTTGTCGGATGTATTGATGATACACACGTACATATCATGGACCCAAAAGAAGATGTTCGCCACTTTCTGCCATTCATTTGGAATGCCATAGCAGTTAAGGTCTTCTGAAATGGCCTTCCACACATCATCGATAGTGGCTTTGGTTTGACCAAAAGTCCGCATGCCACGTGCTACTTTTGGGTGACCTCAAATTGCTCTTTTGTAGTAATATTAACCATTATGGGAAGCCTATAAAGTTCAGTTATTATAAACAGCAACCAGAAATAAATGGTTGCCGAAAAATTATATTTGAAGCAACTGAAGTTGACAATAGTAGCCGTCCATAATGCAAATTTGGCAACTGGCAACGCAACTAAACTCTGGTTGCCATCCGTAATCGACCCATAAATTATTTCATATGGTTGGCAACATTGCACATCGAATTCTAGTAGAATTACGCACTTTGACAGTTAATCAAGACATCAGCTGTTCTAAATGGACTACCTATTCATTGTGCCATGACTCCAACAATCAAATCTTCTGTAACATAAAATTCTGTTCAAGATATTTTGAACAGTAACATAACCTAGAATTTTTGTTTTTTTTTTTTTAATTACTTAAAATTTTTTGGTTACTTTATATATTTTTTAATTAATTTCTTCGTATAGTATTTAAAATTCTACACATTTTGCATTGTATGTGATGCAATGTGACCTTCCATACTACCATACACCGCATGCAAATTAACGCAGTAATTCGATACTATATAGTAGGGTTCTATAGTATAGAATTACTGCATGCCTGCCTACGTGCCTAAGTGTAAATGGGGTGTTGGGTTACTAGGCGGTAGTTATTACTACGAAAGTGTATTTGAAAATCTATACATATGTGTGCAAGTCAGCTGTTTCAACCAGGTTCTCAATGTTACTATATATTCGATAGTAATTTTAAGAACAAACTTTTTCATGGTTATATTATGTAAATTTTATTCTTTCACTTGGCATCCTTTCTCTAACAGATTTTTTTATGTTTTTCAAACCAAATTGCCCTCATCATATACGACCAGGGTTTTTTTACATTTGTTACTAACTTTGTGTACATTTGACTGATGCAATACAAAGGATAACTTTTTCTGCCATTATCCTATTTTTCCTTTTGGTCTTTTTTTTTTGCCTTCCTGTGTTGTAGTTTTTGGTGTGTGCTTGTCATTAAAAATGCAACTCGTCCAAACCCAACCTGCCATGCCATTACTCATACCAACCACACACTCTCTCCCTCTCTCTCTCTTTCCATACTCTTTGAACATTTTCCCACGTTTTGTTCTCTCAATGGGCCTTTTCATGGAACATATGTATATACTCGTAGTTTAAAAAAATCTACATATGTTTTACATAGAAAAAAAGGACATATGAAAAGTAGAACCTAAATGTAAACTACATTAACAAAAAAAAAAAAAAAATCGGCTACAACTCATTCTAAAGTTTTGCCCCAGTTTTTTTTTTTTTTTTTTTTGTTTTTGCTTCTAGTTTATGGGTTTTATATTTTATGTTTAAATTTGTCATAATGATGACAAATGTTGAATGTGGGCTTTCAAGAGCTAGGTTCTTTATTTGAAAGTTGTTGAGATTTGTCTTTGTTTTATATGTGAATGGATGATAGGGAAAATGTGATAAATCAATTTGGAACAAACACTGCACTTTAAATTTGCTCTGTGTAAATGTGGTATTAGTGTGTATGGATACTTTAATAGGGGCGGATGCCAAACTTGTTAGAGAGTTGGGAAATTGTCAGCAATAAAGTTTATTTCATACAAAAATGATCTTGTTTTCTTAAAAGTGATACAAATGGGCACCTCAGTTGCACGCTTTAGGAAAATTTGTCATTTTTTTGACATGTGATCATGTCTGAAAGATATTCCCAGAATCTCAAATCTTAAAATCCAGCTAAACTTTTTTTTAGATAATATGGAAATGCTTCTAATGTCATGAATTTTCCCATGTTATTTTTTATACCCTCCACCATAGTATGGAGGGTATATTAATTTTGTCATTCCGTTTGTAACTCATCGAAATATTCATTTCCGACCCTATATAGTATATATATTCTTGATCAGGGTAAAATTCTAAGACGATCTAGCCATATCCGTCCGTCTGTTGTAATCACGCTATCTTCTGAAAGAATTGTGATAGGGTGCTGACATTTTGCATAGAGTTGTCTTTTGTCTGCAGGCAAGACAAGTTCGAAGATGGGATATATCGGTCCACGTTTAGGCATAGATCCCATAGAACAGTACCCCCACCCCCAATTTTCGGTATTTTGGGGTTCTTGGGCGCGTTTTTCAACCGAATACGCTGAAATTTGGTACATTGGGTTCTTATTGGGTACTAAGTGTCCCCATAAAAAATTATAAATATAGGTCCACTTTTTCTGGTAGCCCCCATATAACGGTACCTCCTAAGTTTCAGTATTTTGGGGATTTTGATCGTATTTTTCCACCGAATTGGCTGTAATTTAGTATTTCGAGTTCTTAATAGGTACCAAATCTCTCCACATAAAATTATAAATATATGTAATTTTTTTTCGGATATCCTCCATGTACGGGTACCCCCCAATTTTCGGTATTTTGGGGTTCTTGAGCGCGTTTTTCAATCGAATACGCTGAAATTTGGTACATTGAGTTCTTAATAGGTTCCAAATCTTTCCACAAAATATTATGAATATAGGTCCATTTTTTCGGATAGCCCCCATATAAGGGTACCCCTAATTTTCGGTATTTTTTTGTTATTATTTTTTAATAAAATAATTGCATTCCTCGTTTGATGCCGCCTATTGCCGAGACATCTTTTGGTTCGTCTTGTGATCTAGACAGAAACAGCAAAATCTCATTTCTTTAGCTATGATCTTCCTTTCAGTTGGGTTTCCATTGTGTTGGGCCCAACTCCATTGTATAATTGCCAATACTCATCTTAAAATTATGAATCACAATCCGTTCACGTTCTAAATGAATGATTGGCTCAAAAGGAACTAGGAGAGCGAGACAACAAGGAACTAGATGAACGAAAGAATCGAAACTAATACCGATCGTTCCTTTTGCGGAATAGTATTTTGAACCAGTTTGTTTCAGTATGACACTGCACTAAACGATAAACCATTCAAGTACCTACTAGTTTTATTTACTTGTAGTTCCGTCAACTTAAGTCTTACTTCCTCAAACGTCGGGGGCATATTTATTAAAAATGTTGAACTCTAAAGCCTCCTTTTAACTCTATATTTTCTTATTCAAATTTGAACCTCAATACGTTTACCAATCAACACATCGCTTGTCCTAGCTTTCCTATAAAAATATTTTTTTTAACAAAATTATGTAGATGACATGACCTTTTATGTAGATGTCAATTTAAATCATTAACATATGAATGATATATATTTAGAGCACATGGCTACTTTAACAGTGCCGTATGTCAAATATATCAGCTGTAGCATAGGACAAATCAATATTGCAATAATAAGGTGATGTATCAAAACAAAAATCTTTGTTTTTGTCTCGATCATCTGTCAATTTTTTCCTTATAATATTTCACATGGTTGGCAACATTGCACATCGAATTCAAGTAGAACTTTCGCACTTTGACAGTTAATCAAGACACCAGCTGCTCTAAATGGACTACCTATTCATTGTGCCATGGGACAATACATAGGTACTCCATTAAACGCAGCTGACTACCCTGATTAACTGTCAAGTGTGTGGGTTCTGTGGTCCAATAAAAACATATGTTTTTGTTCTGATCCATGAACTTTTTATTGTATCGTGATTTCTACCATGAATTCACATCAAGTAGAAACTGGGCAGTTTGACAGTTAATCGAATAGTCAGCTGCGCTAAATGGATAACCTATTTATTGTGCCATTGACAAATTTGACAGATAGTCGAGACAAAAACAAAGGTTTTTGTTTTGATACATCACCTTATTATTGCATCATGGATTTTACTTAAATTCGACGTCCAATGTTGCCAACCATGAAAAATATTACTAGTTAAAATTTGACAGATGGTCGAATAAGTATCAATTGTTTTTGTTTTGATATATCACCTTATTATTGCATCATCATATCATATCATAGTCCATTTAGCGCAGCTGATGTCTCGATTAACTGTCAAAGTGGGTAATTTCTACTTGAATTCGATGTGCAATGTTGCCAACCATGTGAAATATTATATGAAAAATTTTGACAGATGATCGAGACAAAAACAAATGTTTTTGTTTTGATACATCACCTTATTATTGGATTATGGTTGGTTACTTCAACAGTGCCGCATGTCAAATTCATCAGCTGTGGTTTGAATCTTATAGAAAGAGTCATTGATGTCCACTTTTCTAGTGGAAACGGTCGACAGCGACGATATTTATTATAAAAATTTGCAGGCTTTTAAATATAATTAAAATATAACTAATTTTTAAACAAATATTTATTTTTCATATCATTCAATTGTAAATTTTTCTTTAATTTTTCAACATCCTCTCTCTCCTTCATTTTCCAGCTCTTTTCAGTTGTCGTCTTTGGTTGTATATCCTCGGAAGGCTATCGCGAAGAAGATGGCAAAGAAGTGTGTCTATTCAATAAAGATAATATGGCGTGTAAATATGGCAATACCGTGGGTGTATTCGGATTTATTGCCTCCATAGCATTTATTGTGGGTGAATATCTGTTTGAGCGTATGTCATCGGTGAAGAGTCGAAAACGTTTCGTGATGGCTGATATGGGATTTTCGGGTGAGTAAACAAATTATTATTTTTTTCACACTGCGTTTAAAAGAGATGGGACATTCGGCGGGATGATTTTTATACCCTACACAACTATGTTGTCAGGGTATTATAGCTTTGTGCAGCCCCAAAAGTTTGTAACGCCGCGAAATATTGGTCCTAGACCGAACTTTAAGTATACCGATCGTCATATCTCGGCTAGCTGAGTCGATCTAGACAAGTGTGTCCGTCCGTCTGTCCATTATATTTTGTAAACACGATACAGGCCACAGTTATGGGACAATCTTTACGAAATTTTGCATGTAGGATGGGTTCTGGCCAATGAAGACCCATATTGTTTTTTGGGAAAGATCGGTTAATATTTAGGGGATGAAATGGAAATTTAGGGATGATATTGATAAATCAATTCGATATTTATGAAAGCAAATTCTCAAAAATGCCTTCTCTAAACGCAAAGTTAGGAATATTTTTGGGTTCATTTTTAACAAATTGTTTTTCTTTCCAGCATTTTGGGCATTTATGTACTTTGTGGCATTTATCTATTTGTGGTCACAATGGAGTTCAGCTGAAATGCCACCCGGTGGCATTGGTGCAGGCAATATGCAAGCCGCCATTGTATTTTCATTGTTCTCCATATTTACATGGGTAAGTTAAACTTAAAATCAAATGTCAAATACAAATTTTGATACTCCTGAAGATCTAGCAACCTTAACTGACACTTCTTTCTGTTCTGAAATTCGTCTAACTGTCAAAAAGCTTTCTATGTTCCATTAATCGCATGAAAATGTAAACAGAAATATTGTAAAATGAGCGCCATTCAAAATCAGCTGATCCATCCTCGGGCTGTCAAATTAATTTCTATTTTGACATAGTCGTATGAAAACTGAAATAATATTGTTGACACTACAATTTGTTGTTTCTGGTACACTTAAAAAAAATACTGGGAAAACAGCTGATCATCCCATGAGCTGTCAGACTGTTTTCTATTTTGAATAAATACAAGGCTTATTTATAAAGTCACCCAAGAAACGAGAAACATATGTTGCTTTTAACAACGTTTAATGTTAAATATGTGGACGATGTTGACGTTTTCATAATATTAATTCAATTCACAATAATGAATTTTGACAGCAAACTGGAGAACACCTGATTTACAGATGACCTTCCAGGATGAACTTATCAATAGGTCTTGGTTTTCTATTTTGAACTAATCGTATGAAAATGTATAAAAAATATTGACAACTAAGCATAATTCAAGATCAGCTGATCCCCAATTGAGCTGTCAAATTAATTTCTTTTTTGAAAGAGTCGTTTGAAAACTGAAATAAAATTGTTGACACCCAGGAATTATATCACAGCAGTGACATTTACAATAGTTTCTGGTTCACCTATTAGCAGTCATAATGTTTTCTATTTATATAAATCACCTGAAAACTCAAACACAAATATTGACAGCATGGAGTTTTTTTTCAATCACAATAATTCAAGATTAGGTGATACGTCCTCTAGCTGTCAAACACATTTCTATTTTTAATTAGCCCATGGCACAATGAATAGGTAGTCCATTTAGCTCAGCTGATTCCTCGATTTACTGTCAAAGTGGGTAATTTCTACATGAATTCGATGTGCAGTGTTGCCAAACATTTGAAATATTATAAGGACAAATTTGACAGATAATCGAGACAAAAACAAAGGCCTTTGTTTTGATACATCACCTTATTATTGCATCATGAATTTGCCCTATGAAAACATAAATATAATTGTGGACACCACTTACTAGAAATGCCTTAATGTTAACCGGGAAAACAGCTGATTATACCATCAGCTGTGATGTGATTGTTTATACGTCAAATATAATTCACTTGCTTTGTGAACAGAATTAACGTGACGTATACGCAATAGAATTGACATTTGAGATCGAATGAATTTAGTAGTCAAAACGTAGCCTAATAAATATTAGATTATTGCTGGTTCGGGAAACGAGCGCGTATTTTATTATGACAATTAAAAAGGCGTTTACACTATGCCTTCTAAATCGAGGTACAAAATCCTAGCTGTTTATACTAATATTATAATGCTGACAATCAGCTGTTTTTTTGTTTTTTTGCGTATACATACACAATTCGCTAGATTTCTAATTTCCGTATTGATCAAATCATGTGAAGCATTCATAACAAGGCCTATTAATAAGGGCATCCAGGGAGAATACCTGTATATCATGATGCAATAATAAGGTGATGTATCAAAACAAAAGCCATTGTTTTTGTCTTGATTATCCGTCAAATTTTTCCTTATAATATTTCACATGGTTGGCAACATTGCACACCGAATTCAAGTGGATATTACGCACTTTGACAGTTAATCAAGACATCAGCTGCTCTAAATGGACTACCTATTCATTGTGCCATGCTGTATATCAACTGCCTCTCAAGTTTGCTGTCAAAATCCATTATTATGAATTGACAATTATGAAAAAAAAAAGCTGACATTCGATTGCTGGGTAACTTTAGTATTACATCTTGTATTAAACAGCTGATCATCTGTCAGAATGTTTTCTATTTTGAATAAATCAAGACCTATTGATAAGATCAGATAGAAAGCGAAATACAGCTGTTTTGTCACATGTTTATTGTCAAATATTTGGACGAGGTCAAGATCTAATAATAAGGTCGCCCGGCTAGGGAAAGTCAGCTGTTTTTTTCCTCAAGACTAATGTCAAAACTTTGGCTTTTGTTTACATTTACATTTTCATAATTCAATTCACAATAATAGATTTTGACAGCAAACTGAAGTGGTATCTCGTATCCTGCTGGTCTCCTTGGACGGTCTTATTTATAGGCCTTGGACGAGGTTTACATTTTAATAAATTGAAATCAATTCACAATAATGAATATTGACTTGACAAACTTGAGGAAAGCTGATCTTCCAGGATGGCCTTATTATAATGCAAATGTAAACACAACTACTGACAGCATGGGGTTTATTCAATCACGATGGTAGATTTTTTTTCAATTTTAACCCTTTGTGGCCCAATGTTGCAATCAGGCCACAAAATGTTTTAGAGCTTATATTTAATATGCAGCTAGTAGATATATATTATTTGTCGTCCATAATCAAGACCAGATTATGGACGATACATATCAAAATAAAAATCCAAAAAAAATTCAAAATTTTGGTAAAGTCATAATGTTGTCAATATAGAGAAAAGGGTAAATTTGTGTACAGTACTAATTTGTTTATACAGTCCAAGTTTTATAAATCGCTTCGTATTCAAATTGCCATCAGAACTATTTTTGATTCTTGTAAAAATGAATATAGAGAATAATTGATAGAGAAATAATTTTTCTGTCGATTTTGCACTTGGTTTTCTGTATCTCCCGAATGCAAGGATGTATCGATGTCAAATTTTGTGCATATCCTTTTTAGGATAGTTACATTAAATATGTGAACAGAAATTTGTTCTAAGATTGCGGAAAAAAAATTCGGGGCTCAAAGGTCAATAGAATTTGATCTAATCATGTGAGCCACCCTTATTTTAATCCAAAAAAAATCCCTCTTCATTTTCTCTTTGTTTCCAGGCACTGTGTGCTTTCTTGGCCTATAAACGTTTCCTAATCGGGGCCGGTGATGAGTTTACATCGGCCTTTGAAAATGATCCCGCCAATGTGGTGCATCAGCAGGCCTACACAAGTTATTCCATGGACAATGATAATGACCAATATAGTGCTTCACCATTTTCAGGCCAGCAAACGGGTAAGTAGAGAGTGAGAGAGAGAGCTTTCCATGAAAGCATTGTAAATAAGTGGGAATGTTCCCGTAATATAATAATCTACTATTTTTGTCGATATTATAAAGGAAAATTTTGATATAATAGTAAAAAGTAGTAGATTCTTGCAGTGCGGGAACACACCGTATATAATATTAATTTAATATATAATAATTAATTGTTTTTTTTTTAATCTAGGAGGCATGGAACAGCAAGGCATGGAATACCAGCAACCCACCTATTAGATATCAAATTCAAAATAGACAAAACTTCAAAATAATTTAAACATATTAAATTAAATGCGACATAATTTGTTCTTTTTTGTAGACAATTTAAAACAACAAAACATTTAACTTAGTAATAACAATAAACCCCCAGATAATACGTCATTGCATACACTGAGAAAAAATCTTAAAGGAATTTAAACAAAAAATCAGCATTCACAATATAAAAGGCTAAATTTGGCGCCCAAGCGAAACAAAAATCCATACAAAAAACCCAAACAACTAAACTCTGTAAACTTGAACAATACAAAAAATACACCGAATAATAGAAAAAAATGTTACATTTTGTAAGCAAAGAATACCAAACCAAGAAAAAGAGATCTGAAGAATAAGGAGAAGAGAATTCCAACGTGAACACAATAAGAAAAACTGTAATAAACAATACATATTATTATAATTAATATTAATTATAATAATATTAAATAATTATTATATAACTATATATATACAGACATTTGCATAATATATACAGACATTTGCATAATATACTTATATATACACTGAGAAAAATGAACAACTAAAACTTAAGTTTTTTTCAGAAAAGAATATGAAAACACGCCCAGAAAGAAGTAAATCGAATAACACAAATGGTTTAATATTGTAAATCATAACTCTCAATTGCTTCAGCTTTAGATGACATCAAAGAATCACGGAAACAACAATAATAAAACAATAATCAAATAATTTTTTTTTAATAATAGTATAAACATTTATAATATGTATTATGAAGAAGATGGAAAAACAGTCTACATAAAATCACTCGAAATTGATTTGTTGATTAGGATCCCAAAAACAAGGTGGCAACATTAACATCAGCTGATTTGAGAGAATGAAATATCATCTATGAATCAAGGCCTATTAATAATATCATCCATGGATATCAGCTGTTTATCAAGTTTGCTGTCAAAATCCATTATATTGAATTCTTGTGCCATGAGGGTAACTAGTAATTGATAGGGGTATCTAGATCGAATTAAAGAAATTGACTACCATTATGAAAACGTAAACAATGGCAAATGTTTGACATTAGACTGGAGAAAAAAAGCTTACTTTTTTCGACACCTTTTGTATGTGTACGGGAACAGAACTATATTGGTAACAATATTAAACTTTGCTATTAATTTTGGAATTTTAAACGGCATTTAGATTAGATCTTTTTACGGGTTAACCTACTCTATGAGAATTTCTTTAACATGTATACAATGGAATTGACAATTGAAACCCACTGTGTTAACCAAAATCCGGTACAATGTAAACGTGCAAATACACTTTTTGTAATGGCAAAATATGAAGCCATTTCGATTAATAGAAGATTCTTGTACGCTCTAGAAACGTATACTGAACCTTGAAATAGAAAAGTTTACCCTTTAAGGCGAGTACACACTATAAGTTTGGTCTGTCAGCATTTTTTTATTGATTACTGAGTGTATTAATAAGGGTAACCAGGAAGATCAGCTGTATTTCAAGTTTGCTGTCATATCCCTTCACCAAATCGAAATTGGACAATTCACAATAATGGATTTTAACAATAAACTTGTAAAGCAGCTGCCCCGGAAGACAGCTGTTATTTCTTAAGTTAAATGCTAAACAAAATGTAAAACGTTTTCGCTAGAACTTTTTACTGGATTAACCTACTTTATGAGGATTTATTTGACATATATACAAAGTTGTTTACGTTTTCATAATATGAAACAATTCACAATAATGGATTTCAGCAACAAACTTGAGAAACAGCTGATTTGCAGCTGCTCTTCCTGGGCGACCTTTTAAAAAGACCTTAGAAAATACCATCAAATATTTTGACATTTAACTTGAGAAATTCATTTTGACATACGAAAATTTTACCAACTTTTGGGCGAAATGTTTCAAATCGACCAAAATAATAGCCATTTTTTATGGAGAAATATAACTTGTAGAGGGTAGATTTGTTCGAAGATCTATGCTGAAATTTTATGAAAAATATTTTTTCCAATTACACCACCACTCTAAAATTATGTTTTGAGGCCTATTTCTCCTCCATTTTGACGTATGGAAATGTTACCCACTTTTGAAGACATTTTCCAAATCGACCAAAATTATAGACAATTTTTTTGGAGAAATATAATATGAACCGGTTGGGTTTCCCTGGAGACTTTTACTGAAATTTTATGAGGAATATTTTTCCATTAACACCACTCCTCTAAAATTAAGTTTGAGATTGATTTGGCACCATATCGCAATTTTACCAACTTTTGGGTGAAATGTTTCATGACGACCAAAATAATAGCAATATTACTTGTACTGCTTAGGTTTGTTTGGAGATCTATACTGAAATTTTAGGAGGAACATTTTTTCCATTGACAGCACTTCTCTAAAATTGTGTTTTGAGGCCTATTTGTCTTCCATTTTGACATACGCAAATTTGACCAACTTTTGTGGGAAATGTTTCAAATCGACCAAAAAGAAAAGCCAATTTTTGATGGAGAAATATAACTTGTACAGGTTGGGTTTATTTGAAGACCTATACTGCAATTTTATGGGGAATATTTTGTCTATTGACAGCACTCGTCTAAAATTATGCTTAGGGATCATTTTGGCAGCAATTTGGAAGGTATAAAAATTTGATCAACTTTTAAAGGAAATATTTCATTCCGACCAAAATAATAGGAAATTTTATTGAGAAATATAAATAGTTCGGGTTTAGTTTGCTTGAAGACGTTCACTGAAATTTTATGAAGAATATTTTCTACATTGACAGTCCTGCTCTAATATTATTTTTAGGTGTCATTTTGGCAGCAATTTGGAAATATACAAATTTGACCAATCTTTGGAGGAAATGTGCCAAATAGACCAACATTTAAAGCCAATTTCTATGGAGAAATATAACTTGTTCGGGTTAGGTTTGCTTGAAGACCTTTAGTGGAATTTTATGAGGAATATTTTTGCCATTGATAAACTTGCTCTAAAATTATGTTTAGAACTTGATTTGGCTTCCAATTTGGCATATACAAATTTGGTGTACATTTGGAAGATATTCTTCAAATCGACCAAAAACAATAGCAATTTTTATGGAGAAATATAACTTGTTCGGGTTAGGTTTGCTTGAAGACCATTAGTGAAATTTTATGAGGAATATTTTTGCCATTGACAACAATTCTCTAAAAATATTTTTAGATATCATTTTGGCATCAATTTGGCAATTTACAAATTTGACCAATCTTTGCAGGAAATGCTTAATATCGACCAAAATTAAAAGCCAATTTTTATGGAGAAATATAACTTGTTCGGGTTAGGTTTGCTTGAAAACCTTTAGTGAAATTTTATGAGGAATATTTTTGCCATTGATAAACTTGCTCTAAAATTATGTTTAGAAGTTGATTTGGCCTCAAATTTGACATATACAAATTTGGTGTACATTTGAAAGATATTCTTCAAATCGACCAAAAACAATAGCAATTTTTATGGAGAAATATTAATTGTACGTCTTTGGTTTGTTAGGAGACATGTTCTGAAATTTTGTGAAGAATATTTTTTTCATAGACACCATCCCAGCAAAATTATTTTTAGAGGTTGAATTTGCCTCCATTATGAGGAATATTCAAAATTGATCAACATATTTTTTATTGGTGAATAATTTTTTTTGTATCGATTTTTTTCTTGGTTAAAAAAACTATAAACAACCCTGCTGTTTTTTTAATAAGCCCTCATCCTCAGTTATAGCTCAATAATAAAATTTCCATATTAAAAAAAATAATTATTATGAAATTAAATATTAATTTATATTAAACAGCATTTTGACAAAGGCTTTATAAAACAATACACATATAGGAATTTATTATAAATATATTTAATGAAAAAAAAACATCCCTACATAAACAAAATAGTATTATTTAAAGATTTTATAACAAAAAATACATGCAGAAAACCTATAAAAAAATAATTTAATAAAAAAACTCATTACAAAATAATAAAAAACAAAATTTACACCATAACCATATCCATAAGCCCACTAACCGAAAAAGAAAAAAAATTATAATTATTTTCATTAAAATAAAAAAGAACACATTCTTACCATAACAAATGCCAAACATAGGGTCTGTTCCCGTACTGCAAGAATCTACTAGAGTTTACTATTTTCCTCGATATCATAAAGGAAAATTCGTTATCGTAGTAAAAAGTAGTAGATTCTTGCAGTACGGGAACAGACCAATTATCATATTAAATTTTCTATATAGAAAAACCCAAAAAAACCTAACCCCAAAGAATTAAAACAAAACCTGCAAATACAAATTAAAATAAAAATATGAAGAAAAAAAAACAAATTGTTGCTAAATCACTGTTACATACATTTATAAATGTATTTCACTTACAAATAATAATAATTATCATTAACTATATATATATTTATATATATTTACATTAGACACATAATTATAATAATATATACATGCATATATACATTAATACAATAAATCACATAAACACACACAACATACACACACATATATACATATAAACAAAAAACAAAAAATAAAAAATAAAATATTTATATAACTGTCTATTTAAGTAGTAAATGTGCGCGTTTTTTTAGACAAAAAAGTAAATAAAAATAAACTACACAATAATAAATAATTATAAATAAAGATACATATTATATATTTGAAAAAATAAAAATATAAAATAAAACAAATACAATAACTAAATATGTAATGTTATTCAAGTGAAAAAAAAAAACAAATAAATCCCTAAACCGGAAAGCATATAAAAACCACATTGTAAGACAAGTATAACTTAAATAAAAAAAAAAAAACAGACAACAAAAACAAAGCATAATAGAAGACAACAACAACAATGAAGAGAAAAACAAATAAGTAAATATGTTTGGTTGATTGATTTGACTTTGAAAATTGAAATAAAAAAATTGAAAATACATTAATGATAAAAAAATATAACAACATTAAAATCAAAAAACAAATGTCTTGTGTGTGTTTTATTTTTTAAGGTTAAGTCCAGTACACACTGT